AACTAACCTGATTGCTAGCAAGATATTAGCCACTCCTAACCCTGATGAGGTCAGCTTTTACTCCAAGTTCTGTAGCTTGTGGGCATCTCAGGGCTTTCCTAGAAATGTTTGAAAATTACCAGAGAATTGTAGGCTTTTTACTTCCCTATAGGGGTTCACATTTCCATGCAGGATTTCTAAACTATCTCCATCCTGTCTTGGTTTCAGTGATGGGTCAATTCTTAGAGTTATCTTTCCTTTCCTCCTCCCAATCATGTGTAAATTGACTTATGATTTGGGGTGTTGCTCTGGCCAGTGGGTACCATGTTATATTGACTCTAATGTGAAATGTCCCCAGGTCCTCACAACCAGGACCAGAAGGGGACAGGGAATCACGCTGGTCTGGTCACTAAGGAACTGTTAGCTTCCAAAGGAGGGCCACGAGGGGTCCAGCTCCATGGCTAGGACCCTAGTCCTTCCTGTTGGGGCTGAGAGATGAAGGAAGAAAAGCTAGTGAAGAGGATGTGCTAGAGCTGGTCTATTCATTTACTGCCTCAGAAATCTGAACTCAAGAACGGAGAGAGTACAGGGGTTAGAGGGCCTGCCATGCATGTGCTCAAGTAGGTTCAATCCCTGGCACCACATGACATCATGAACATTGCTAGGTATACCCTGGAGATCCCCAGCACCAGGGGGTATGAGGAAGGGGGGCCAAGTCTTAGCATTGGCCTGTGGTTGATCACTAATCACTGGGAACAGACTCAGGGTCCCCTTAACACTGCTAGAAAGCCCACCCTAACCCCCTAAAATAGTAAACATTTGGTTACATACGTTTGGTTACATACAATTTAGGAAGCATACATGTAATTATATAGCTGACTACCCCTAAACGATTAGACTTCCATTGCTTACATACATCTCTTATCTGAAAACACGGTTGTGATTTTAACTATTATTTCACTGCATCTTTTTTTTTTTGTGGTGTGGGCGGGGGAGCCGGCGCTTTTTAGCAATGCTGGCAACTTCCAGGACTACACTGCAGTGTCCTGGAGATAATGTGGTGCTGGGGATCAAACCTAAGGTCTCATGTATGCCAGACTTTTGTTGTAACTGTTTGACTCACCTGTGATCATGTGATCTTAGATTTCATTTTACCAATATGACTTTGGGCATGACACAGACACATAACTCTCCTAGTCTTTTTCTTCATTTGAACAATCATCATCACTGTCATCACTGTCATCCCATTGTTCATAGATTGTTTTCTTGAGCGGGCACCAGTTACATCTCCATTTGTCCCTGTTGCATGCTAGTGTAGCCTGATAAGGTATTTGGGGCTCTTTCAGGGACAGGAGAATGAGGACCATCATTGTTACTGTTTTTGGCATATCGAGTATGTCACAGATAGATTGCCAGGCTCTGCTATGCAGGCAGGATATTCTCAGTAGCCTGCTGGGCTCTCCAAGAGGGATGGAGGCTTTTGGGGTGGCCTCTAATCGCCTTTAAAGGTGTTCCCAGTCATATATATATATATCTATATATATATATATACATATATATTTCCCTCTATGATTTGTTGCCTACTCTCATCAAATATGGTGTGGTAAGTAAGTAAAGTAAAGGCCCTCCCGTTGACCATCGATTTCCTCGAGCGGGCCCAGTAACGTCTCCATTGGAGACTTTGTTGTTACTGTGTCTGGCATATTGAATACTCTCGGTAGCTTGCCGGGCTCTCCGAGAGGGGCGGAGGAATCGAACTCGGGTCGGCCATGTTGGCCACTTGTAAGGCGAACGCCCTACCCGCTGTGCTATCGCTCCAGCCCATATGGTGTGGTAATTATGGAAAATGAGTATGGAGTCTTATGTGTCACGTGGCTGCTTTTGCAGCAGTGCAGTCCAGGAATATGTTCACTCATATGTGAGGCTCGGTCCAAGTGTGTGGAAAGCAGCCTGGAGTGTGGCAGTTGTTGGACTGTGGAGGTCGGCTGCTGAGGCTGGGTACTTTGGGGTGGGGAGGGCTCTCACCTGCCTCCTCTGGAGTGCCCCAAGTGAAAACAGCCTGGTGCGGAGTCTGGTGGCATGTTTATAGGGGCCTCATTTTATGCTCTCTTCAGGGAGAAGCAGCTGTGAGTTCTGGACGATGAGGAGATTATCTGGTGCCAGCAGTAGGTGTCTTATGGGCATGATCCCTGGGTTGCCAGAGACTAGGGGAAGTAGGCAGAGGATCTCTGCTCTCGGGTCCTGTTGAGCCCAGAGACTAAGGTCACAAAGTTCCACATTTGAACAGTAAAGATTAAAATGTTCTTTGATGTAGCATCTTTGTGTAGTAGTAGTTCTTCAGAGAGGATTAAATAATACATATATGTCTATAGTACAGTACCTGAAATATAGTAAATGCTCAGTCAGTGATAGCAGTTACTTCTTCAGCTAGCCAATAGCTTATTATAATTTGGTATGGTCAACATGCAGGTGTTGGAGAGGATGGAAATGAGCAGTGAAAAAATTATAAGAATATGAATTTTATATCATATTACCCAAAGATGGGTTGTATTCTACAGGAAGTTTTTCGAACCATTCCTAACAGCCTGATCTTCTATCTGTAGGGGTGTGAAGGAAGATACTCTTGGAAACATAGTTTCATTTCCTGTTTAATTCTAAAAATGTATTGAATTTTGTGTTCTAATCTATAATGTGTTCAATAACTAGAAACAAGCCTTCAAAACATTTTTTTTAAAAAAATTCTTTGTTGATTGATCTGGAAGTAGTCTCAGTTCACTTTAGAGGAAAAAATAAACCAAGCCATTTCCACTGATTGCAACTTCAATATCATGGTCTCTTTAAAAAGGAGGAGGCTTGTAAAAACCTGTTATGTAAGGGGAAAACACACTGAAAATTCCCATTTAAAAACTATCATAGACTTTGGAAGAATTTCCTGCACAATTGATATGAGAGGCATGTGTTCTTCAGATCATACTTAAATATCATGGAAATTGTAAAGTGATTAAGAGCCTGTTGAAAAGAGAATTCAGTCTGTAGCCTTAGCAGGAGAACAAAATTAATGAGAGGAAGTCCAGGAAATGTTTATCTTTACCCCAGTTCTTCAGGCTATTACTAAAGCCAAACATTCACTGTTATCACCATTCAGAGGCAAATATCCCTGTAATCTTCTTTTTTTTTCCTTTTTTGGGTCAGACCCGGCAATGCACAGGGGTTACTCCTGGCTTTGCACTCAGGAATTACTCCTGGCAGTGCTCAGGGGACCATATGGGATGCTGGGAATCGAACTTGGGTCGGCCGCGTGCAAAGCAAAAACCCTACCCGCGGTACTATTGTTCCAGCCCCCTCTCCCTGTAATCTTTTGATGCTGTAGATTTCCTCTGAAACAGAAGTGGGAGAGAGATGTTCAATCCTAGGACAGTGAATAGGAGTAATCTGTGTCCCTCTTGGGCTAGCCTTGCTTTCATGAGGTCTTGAAGTTTCCTACTGAAAAATAAAATCCTACTCTTTTTACCAAGAATCAAGATTACTCGGTATGTTTTGGATAACCACCAACCCACACACATCCCATCCCCCTCTCTCCTACATAGCATCAGCAGTTTGTTACAGTCAACAGAAGTGTTAAAAAAAAAAAAAAACCACCCACAGATAAAAATGCAGAAACTGGCAAAAATCATAGGGATTTGAAGTCAAACCACAATAATTTTTTTAAAAGTCAATTTGGTAACTTATAAAGCATCACCTTTTTTAGTGGATTATGCCCAAGCCAAACTTAATACTTTATACTAAAATTACCAGAAACCCTAATCCAGAATATTGCATGAAAATGATAATATTTTTTGTGATATTTCATAGGCTGTATTTCTAATCCACCTAAGGTTAGATACAGGATTCATGTAGAGATGATATGTAATCATGTCTTCAAACTACCTATTCATGTCTGTTTTATAGCCTATAGCAGTAATAGATCAGAGCTGTAACTGAATTATAACCAAAATGTTATTCCAATAAAGGTGAAAATTTAGCATATATGAGTTTGAAAGGCTGTTACCCAAGTTAGAATTTTCATGTATGAAAGGGACCAAAAAATATGGCACAGCAAAACAGAAATATAGTACGGTAGATAGTAAAACATGTAAGACTGAGTGTGTGTGTCTGTGTGTGTTTGGGAGGAGTGGATTTGGGGGCTATACCCTGTATGAGTAGGGTGGTGCTCAGGAATGACCTTTGGTGGTGGTTGGGGAATCATTGAAGAGCTGGGAATTGAATCAGGGTCAACCATATACAATGCAAGCAACTAACTACACCTGTCTCCAGCTCCCTAACACCGTATTTCTCTTCCCAATGATAGCTGAAACTTCTCCTAGGAAATAGTACAAATTTATAGAACCTTATTTGTAAAGCTGGATAAACATATTCATCTAATTTAGTAGATAAATGTTTTTTCCTCATGACTTCCCAAACAGTACATACTACTTAATAAAAATTTTATTCCTGTATGTCATAACAAGTGAAGAATTTAAAAAAAATGATTTAACGTTTCTATTGAAAAATGTTTTGAGACCACACCTGGCGGTGCTCAGGAATTAGTCCTGGCTTTGTTTGGGGGGAATCTCACATAGGTGGTGCCAGGGATCAAACTTGCGTGTTCGATCCTGGTGTTCTAGATAGAAAACTACTTTGCTAGTGATAGAGCATACGATACTTAGATAATATTTGAGAACTTGTTACTCCTCTATTTTTGCTCCAAACCCCAAGTGGGATAAAGAGAAAAAAAAGTAAAGGGAGGGAGAGATCTCTTAGCACTTCAGGTAGCCCTTTGACCCTGTCAGAAACTCCCACACACCCTCTATAGAGTTTGCTTTACGTTCTTCAGGCTGCTGAAGCCTGAACGGGATACAGCAGGGGGAGGCAAACTTTTCCTCTAAAGGAACAAATTCTTCATATTTGCTTAAACCATTCAGTTTTGTTATTGTTGCATGGAAGAAAACAGATAACACATAGATCAGAGTGTGGCTTGGGTTCTTTCTGGAAATACTTTATTTGTAGACAGCAAAATTTAAAATTCACATAATTTTCATATCAGGAAATATTTAATTTTAAAATACTATTTAAAAAGGTAGAAACCATTCTGAACTTTTCAGGTCATACAGTGCAGGCTGGGGGCCAGAGGTGGCCTCATGGCCCAGGTGCAGGGCACCCCTCTCAGGCTTCGTATCAGTCCTCGCCACTCTTTTGCAATGGCTTCTTTCCTTTTTGTTGCTGGGGTGTGTTGCAGAGACCGCAGGGATGTTAAACATGACTGACAGAGATAAAAAGTTTCTAAAATCTGACTTTGTTATCTGAGTTTTTTTTCAGATTTTTTAAATATCTAAGAAAGTATTACAATCAATTTTCCAAAGAAAGAAAATTTCCAAATTTTCCAATTTTCCAATCTTTTTAAAGAGATGTTTTAAGACCAACTAGTATTAGTAAAAATTGAGGAACTCTACATTTTCATTTTTAATAAAATACACAGCAAACAATATTTAATAAGTGTATAGGAAATTACATTTTGAAAATTGCAAATTCAGTAAATATATTTTGATCTTAAATTACAAGGACAAAATCCAACTATAGAATCTTTCTAAAACCAATTCTATGCAAAATATCTGGTTTCTGAAGGACCATATGGTAAAGTATATACAAGTTCTTAAACTGTGATATGGCTTACTTAATAAAATGTATTTGGAGAAGCATATGCTTTCCAAATATACTCGTTTAGGTGCAAAACTGACATACTGATACATTTGTTTTGTATTGCAGTTCAGAATTGTACATATAAAATTGACAATCATAGATTTAACTGGGAAATTTTTCATAAATGTTTTCAGTATTTGTTGGTCCACACAATATGATTGCAAAGAAATTAAGCCAGTTGTGAATGAGTGTGCACACACACAATACCGAAAAACTCCCCAATTTGCCTGCTCCTACCAATGTCACAAAAAGCATCTGATGATCTGTCGGACAACTCTAAAGCCTTGTCTCATGGGCTTCACAGGACAGACCTGTAGTTAAGGAGATCAGATTTACCTTTCCTCAACACAGCATATCATGAGATGTCACTATCCACTTGTGACTAATACCACTGGCTCATGGCTATGCTCAGGACAAGATAAATTGAGCCAAACAAACTGGCCAAATTCAGGAACACGTTCTGTGACTTTTAAAAAAATATATTATAAAGTAGCGTCTATAACAAAACAGCCTAAATCCTTATTCCACAGGGGATCAAGTTCTCTGAGAAAACCTTATTACAGTGAAGCAATATAAAGAAAATAAATTTAGTTGTGTTTCAGAAGTAACTATGCTTCTCAAGTAGTGACAGTGGTTGTTTGAGAAACTCAATCCAGCCTCACCGGCGATGATCTTGAATCCGGCTGCACAAGACAGTCTGTTTCCATTTATTATACTTATTCTATAAATTTCTGTGTGTAGAGAGTAAAACAGGAACAACTAGCTATTAAAGATTTTTCCCCATCTAGAAACACATTTCTAAGCTATATTATCTTTGAAAGATGATTTTCCCCACATTAAAACAAAAGGGAAGTTCATGTATCTGATCTTGTTTGTGTCCGTTTCTCAGAAGACTGCTAAAGAAAACACTATCAGGGATGGCATATGGGTTCAAGATACAGAACCAGACCACTGTGACCCCAAAAGCAGGAAATCTGGTTTTAGAAAATGAAAATGCAGCACCTTAAGTGAAGACAAAGTCACAAAATAAGTAGCTCAATGATTTGGCAAGCAATACTCATGGGAACTCTAAGTTGTGAAAATCTGGGTTAACATTACACAAGGCATAATTAATGGAAAATGTAGGAATTACAATTGCTTCGAGTTCTGCATTTCAAGGTTCTCTGAAATAAACTTCATTCAACTATATTCCCTTTACTGTCTTCGTAAGGCAATGTTATTGTTAATGAAACCATAGGCATCTTTTCAAAATAATCATCAAAAGGCTGCAACTGGTGAGAGTTGTGAAAGAGATTTATATAGACAATAAACTCAGATTATTTGAAAATGTTTATTAAAATACATCCCACTGATTAACTGCCCAGTTCCCCCCCACTTTTTTGCATTGTGTTCTGTTGTTCCAGTGTGATTTCTTTTCCCAGTGCAAAATAATGCTCTGTGTTTACACAAACACAGCTACTGCTTTTTCCATGACACGGAGACTTCTTTCTTAGAGTTGGCTGGGCTCAGCAGGTGAAGGACAAACTCGAGGTTCTGTGTCAGAGGGTGCAGTCTCTGGTTATAGATGCCAAGGTCACATCCTTCTCTGTGGGTTTTGTCAAGTTACGAAAAGTTAAATCTATTAATTCTTAAGCCTCTTAGACCCAATAATATACAACAAAATCTGTAGTTCTTGTAAAAACAAACAAACAAAAAGCACAGGACTCTTTAGGTATACCTCACTCTAAGCAGAATATGAAATTCACAAATTTCAATTTTGATTTTCAAACGTTCTCAGTGTTTCTGTTATAACAAAAGGATCCCTTTCAGTCCTCAAGTAGATTTTTTTACTTTATCACACAAATTCTCAAGAAACAGATTAATATGAAAAGTCATATATACATAAATAAAAAGTTTATAAGAAATAAGTTCAGTAGATAGGAACCTCAACTGCAAATAATGGTAAAACTCATGAACATATAATGCATTTCTTTTTCTTGTTCTTACTCTAGGTAACCAAAGTCTGACAGCTCAGATATCTACTAAAATGTCTCACTTTTATTCTTAATGCCTTCCATATTAAGAATATTTTGATTAAAGTTTATGTACTCCTGGAATTGCTGAAAACTTTAAATCCTTATTTAAATAGATTCATAATAAGAATCCCATAAAATGAACCTTCAAATCAACAAAGATTTTTATTAGGAATCATTAGCCCTCATTAAATGTTAAACAATTTTTTTTAGATAAATCCAGTTTTTAGCTTAGGTTTACCTACAGTAAATTCTGACAGGATGCCTTTGCTATTTTTTCTTTTACATTAAAAATCATCTTCATGTCTAAGATTTTAATTCAAAGCTTTTCTGTTAATCTGTTGCTAATCTATTCTGATTCTCTAAGTAGACAAGAATCAGCCATTCTTGGTATAAGAAAATGTCTCTGTTGAGAACAGATTTTAATGTGCATAAAGAAAAATCTCAAAACCAGTAGCTGCAAAATGAAACACAAGTACTTACAGTTGCCTCTTTAACATAACAGCTACCAATTAGGTTGCCTTTGGTTTGGAAATTTATGTTTAGCCTCAATGTTCATCCAGTGCTTAAAAATGCACACAAGCCCAAACCCATCAAAAAGCCTTGAAACTTTTGTTTTCGCAGAGTAATACTTTTTCCAGTTCCTGTGAGCATTTATGTTATGGTGTTATTGGAGAACTTCATAATTATATCTTAGTGTTTTCTGGAGTTAAAGGGAATTTTTAACCCATTATCATTATAAAATTCTCTTTGGATGAATATACGTGTTTGAGGTGGCTATTCACAAACTTAATCTTAGACCTCGGGAGTTTTACACAAATTAAACAGGTACACACAAATTAACTACAATAGAGGCAGAAAACAAAGTAACAATCAAACTTTTTGAGCACTGTATAAGGCAGTTCTTCAAAGGACAGATCAATCAATGCTCACATTTTGCAGTTTCCAACTATACTTAAGACCATGAACAATAAAAGTGGATTCAGGAAGACGTAAATTGTGAAACTCCAGACCTCATCCTCACTTAATATTTTAAAAAAATGATCTATATTTAAATTATAGCATTTTATTTTGAGACTAACTTTTGCCATTCAAAAAAATGAAAATATTTCCTAAGTAATTTAGTGACAGTGATCATAATATATAAAGATTTGGTTCTGATAAGATTACAAATAACTAAAACCACAACTTTGAGATTTGAAAACCCTGTAACATCTGTAAAAAGTTATATGGTATAGCTATAACATTAAGACTTATTTCTGAAACCCTAAGGAATACATGCTTATTCCAGACTCTGGGCAATACTATTAGTTTTTTTGAAATCTGAAATCTGTTGAGAAATTTTGTAAAAAGAGAGCTGGGTCTCAAATTCCAGAAGTTGGTGTCAAGATTACATAATAAAATATTTCAGTTTTACAGCACTGGCTTAATACAAAATGGATTTTAAAAAGTAGTTTCAATGCAAATACTGATATCTCTTTATGCTTCCTTTAAGACGTGTACTCTGTCATAATGAAGTATGTATGGTCTTGGATTGTCTTCTTTGAGGTATCTGTAGCGTCACATATCATTCTGTAAACATTATTTTGGAAACATCTTCAACTGATAATCATGGTGAAGTCTTAATTTACTGAAACTAGCATGGTCAGACTGGAGTGACTGTTGAGAGACTAGTGCTTACATGGATACAGCTGTCAGGAATCCCATCTTCTCATTTAGATTTGCATTTATTGCTCTCAATGACTGCAGGATAAATAAGGCAGTAGTCCCCCAGACATAGAATTAGGGACAGGAACTCTGACAGTTTGCACAAATTCTGTCCACTTCTTGCCTGTAACTCTGAAGCTGAATAGTACATTTATACATGCCAAATGTGTTCAATAATAAATGCTTTGCTTTGAATTGTACTTCCTCCCATTTAGGTGAACTTCCAGGAACTGCAATGTCAAGAAAATACCATTATTATTCATAGTACAGAGTTACACATTGGTAAGTAAAACATAGGGAAAAAAACTCACCTATATACTAATATATTGTGTATATATTTTATTAGTCTGATTCCAACCCCTTGAAACTACTCTATTAGAGAAGTATATCTATTTACAAAATCAGAATAACTTCTCTTAAATCCAATCTCTCCATCTACTCCCAGGTAGAGAATAAATACTAAATATCAATTACAAATCTTTCATTTAAAAATTAAAAAATAAATCACATGTATTATTTTGATAAAAAGTAAAAGCATCAATCTGAAATGACTTAGCTTTTATGTAGGAAAAAAAGCATGGCAATGGTACTTAATGTCTTTAATCTGAAGGCAAATATTTTATTTACTTATTTGCTGAAAGTTATTTAAAAAGATATGAGAGGAGAGGGAGAGATACATATTCAAGAGAGAACACAGTCTAAAGCAAGCAAAGAAACAGAGACAAACAGGCAAGATGTGTATGCGTTCAAGGGAGACCAAGGGCTTGAAAAAGCAAGCCCAAAAATAAAAGTTTAATATCTGATTTCACAAAGTGTGCAAATGTCTGCTTTGCTATCACTATTGATGCAAATCCCCATCTCCTCTCTCTTTTTAAACAAATATTTCCAACAATAATCCTACTTAATTATAAGCACAGATGTTTAGTTCCAAAGATAGAAGTCCGCCAACCCCAGTATTTACTGTCAGCAACATACTTAGCTGTAGGTGTACTATGGCAGTAGGCTTTCCTGAAGTGAGAGACCAGATATTTAAATCTTCTACTGAATATACATCTTCTATTTTCATCAAGCTTTCTTTGATATAATCTATATTCAAGTGGCTTGGTACACCTATTGTTCAGAATATATAATTTATAAGTAAAGATTATTTTAGGGAAAAAGTAATACATTACTAATAGAACACTTTCTTTAGAGAAACTGGTTTTACCAAATTCAGTTTAAACAATGAATGGGCACTTTTAAAAATGGGCACTTTTAAAAATCAATAAATAGTTGGGCTGGGTATGTAAATCAGTAGTTAGTCTTACACAGTTAAGACCCTGGACTTGATTGCCAGTTCCAACCCTCCACAAAAAGAAAGAATAAGGTAAAAAATATGAGTAATTCAGATCAACAAACGAATATACACAATAGAATATTGATGTTAATAAACACTTAAAAATGTTCATTCTCACTAAAAAGAAATATCAAACCAGAATGCTTCATTTATTAAATAAGGCTAGAATAGACAAAAAAAGAAAAAAAGAAACATCAGATGTTGATAAAACTGTTGACAACTTATATACTTAGGGATATTGTCAGTAAGTTGGGGAATGCTGAAAATGTAACATTAAAAGTATATGCCAATGAGTCAGAGAAATAGCTTGAAGGGCTGAGCACATGCTTTACATGCAAGAGGCCTGGGTCCAATCCACATAGACATTCAAAGATATAACTAATTACCAAATTAGATGGGAATTATAATGAATAAACCACTAAACATAATTACACTAAACAGTATGGCATCCTTGTCTTAGTTCACTTTATTAGTAACCTGACCTCAATCAAGTTATGTTATCCCACTAAACCTCAGTTCTCTAATTAGTAAACGGGGATTACAGCCAGCCTTCTCTAGTTTTGTAGTTATTATATATATTAAATGGATAATGAGAGAGTTTATTAATTTTGTGTATTATATACATGTAAGATGGTGTATATAATACACCTAAAAAGATCAGTAAAAAGAAAGGAAAAGACAAGGCTCCTATCTTAGGATGTCCTCTCACCCCGTTTGATTCAGGGAAGGTATAAACCTACATTGAGAGGCTGGAGTGATAGCACAGCGGGTAGAGCGTTTGCCTTGCACGTGACCGACGCGGGTTCAATTCCCAGCATCCCATATGGTCCCTCGAGCACCACCAGGAGTAATTTCTGAGTGCATGAGCCAGGAGTAACTCCTGTGCATCACCAGGTGTGACCTCCCCCCCGTGCCCCCCCAAAAAAATCCCACAATGAGTAAGACCATACCTTCTAGTATTATAACCACGGTGTCCCATATGATGCGAAATGTTGTAAAAGCCACAAGTAATGAAAATACATAGGTACAGATGGGATCAGCAATCTTGTATTCTGGCTGAAAGGTCAATAGCATGTAATTAAATACAGAAAGATATAAAGCATATTGTAAAGCAAAGCAAGGCATACTTTACAGAAAGATATAAAGCATATTGTAAAGCAAAGCAAGGCATACTTTACAGAAAGATATAAAGCATATTGTAAAGCAAAGCAAGGCATACTTTGTTTTCTGTTGTTTAGCTTTCTTTCATGAGACTGGAAAACACTTTTAAAATCTGGATATTACAACTGGGAAATGTTACTTTTTCCTAGACTGTTTAACATGTTTAACACAGACCACTGGTGGCTCACACTTGAATGTGGTTTACTGAGAAACTGCAGCCGCTAGCATCAACATGTTAAATGGCTTTCCTCATGGGTCCTACTTTCAGAAGTTTAATTTTTTGTTCTAATGTTTCCTTTGTGGTTTCTCTTAATCTCTTAACTAGAGATGAACTATGAAATAGAACTAGAAGGAGTTTTAGCAAGCATCTATCTGATCTAAGTGCAACATATGGAAGAAAAGGGAACTCGAGTTTAGAAAGGAAGAATTTGGTCAAAGTATTAATGGTAGAGCTCAGACAGAAATCTAGATCTCTCAAGATTTTTAGCCCAGCAACAAGGTTTAAAAATGAGAGGCAGGGTGGGATGGGGTGATGGGTGGTGGGAGGGATACTGGGATCTGTGGTGGTGGGAAATGGGCACTGTTGGAGGGATGGGTATTTGATCATTGTATAATTGAAACCCAAGCACAAAAATTTGTAAGTCTGCAACTGTACCTCATGGTGTCTCACTAATAAAAATTAAAAAAAAAAAGAAAAGAAAAGAGTTTTTGGGGCTGGAGTGATAGCACAGCGGGTAGGGCATTTGCCTTGCATGCAGTCGATCCGGGTTCGATTCCCTTCCCATTTCCAAGCACCGCCAGGAGTACTTCCTGAGTGCAGAGCCAGAGTAACCCCTGCGCATCACTGGATGTGACCCATAAAGTCCCCCCCCAACCCCCCCGCCAAAAAAAAAAAAGTTTTCCAGCAAAAGGTATATCTTACACCAACTAGAGGTAAGCTGCCCTATGAGATAGTATTGTATTCAGGACTAACAAAAAAAGCTATATTGGTTGCTCAATCTTGCTTTTAGAAAATGCAAAATTACTAGGACTGGCATTGGGGTTCAGTTTTGATTGAGCCAATCATCTTTACACATATTAATTTATCTAATGTAGCATATATACATGTGATATTTCAGTATACCTTAAACTGAAATGTTACAATGAAAAGTTACTTCTTTTTATGTGGGTATTTTGGGCCACACCTGACAAGGCACGGCATATTCCTGGTTCTATGCTCAGGGATCATTTCTGGGGGTGCCAGCTGGGGGTGCCGAGGGAGCCATGTTTGGTACCAGGAAACTGAATGTGGGTCAGCGGTGTGCAAAGTAAGCATTTTACCTGTTGTACTATCCCTCTGGGTCAGAAATAGTATTTCTACTAAAAAAAAAAGTTCTAATTTTGAAATGAAGTATATTTTAAAATAGAAAAATTCATAATTATATTACCTTGAATCGTATAATGTATGCAGCAATTAGCACACCAACACTCTGTACCAAATCCCCCAAGGCATGTACAAATGCAGCTCTCACTGCTAGGCTATCCTGGTTGTGTCCACACCTAGAACTTATGGTAGAAGAACTTGAAGGCAAGGAGTGGGAATGAGCATGATGGTGACCAGACTGTTTCAAGAGGAACCCCATTCTGTTAAGAATAAAAGGAAAAATTATTATCGTTATTCCCAAAACTACAGACATAAAAATATTTGTTACTTGTCAGGAACAAATGAGACAAAACACAGAACTCATTCATCTGATAAGTACTTAAGCACATACAGTATTATCAAGTACTGTTCTGGGATGAAAATAGTAAGACAGATGTGTCTGACCTCCAAGGAGCTTATGGATCTAGTAGGAAAGCTATGAATAAATATAATCATAGGGTATTTCCAAGCAATATAAACACTTCAAAGAAAATAAGGCACTACAACGGTTAGTGATGGGGAGAGTGATAAGACAAAGTCTCTTAGATATCATGTGAACTGAATCTTAATGGAGTTCGGGAGCAAGTAGTAGAGAAATAGTTTAGACCAAAGGAACAGCAGGAATGAAAATGGGCTCCATATGTTTGAAGTCAGCCAGGGACCAGGAAGAGAACTCAAAGGGATGGAAATGCATGCTTTGATGCAGGAACTTTGAGTTTGAGCCCCAGCACCACACTGTTCCTTTAGCCACTGCTGGATGTGGATCAAAAAACCAAAAACAAAACAAAAAAATCAAGTCAGTCATTCTGCTAAAATAAAGTTAACAGGAGAACTAGGATACAAGTGAAGAAGGCTGTATATTCAATTTAAAAGATTATATAGTAAGGTTTTTTTATTTGTGGACTGTGGTAGGTGGGGCCGTACCTCATGGTCCTCAGGGGCTATTCGTTTATTCAGGAGTGAACTCTGGCAGTGCTTGGGTGGACCATACGTGGTGTCTGGGTTGATTGCATGCAAGGCAAGTGACTTACCTCCAGTACCAATTCTTCAGCCCAAGGACTTATGTATTTTTTTTTGGGGGGGGGGGGAGGCTAAGTCCAAATGGGAGCCATTATGGTACAAATGGGAAACTTGGAGGCTATATACCATCTCTGGTCCACTGACTCTTTTGTAAATAAAGTATTATTGGAAAACAGTCATACTCATTTGCTTAGATAATGAATATGGTTGTGTTTTCTGTAAGAGTTGCTAAGTTATGAAAGACACTGTATGGCACTCATAGCCTAAAGTATGTATTACATGACTACTTCACAAAGCTTGCTAATCAGTGGTGCAAATGATTACAGGTCTTAAAATTTTGATGCTTTTCCAGGAAAAAGGTTGGTGGTAAAATTTAAAAATTAAGTAACACGAAAATAAATTATTTTGGTTTTGGGCCATAGCTGGACGTACTTAAAAGGCAGTTCTGGGGATTGAAACAAGGTAGGTTATATGCAAGGCAAATGCCTTGCCCATTGTACTATCTCTCTGAATCAATGAAAATATTTTTTAAAAGAGATAAATTAAAAAAGAAAAACTTCGTCCTACTTAAATTTCTGATAGTCAAACTTCAGCAAACCTGAGCAAAACAAATGAGTAATTTATTATTTTAACAGTGTTTTATTAAGTTATGAGAGAAAAGAATGTAATATACATTAAAAATAATCTATACATTACTGAGCATGTTTAATATCTGTAAGTTCCCAGTACTTGAAAATGTTAAAATGAACATAAAATAGTGTACAATACTATAATGGTGGATAAATGCCACTACAAATTTTTCCGAATTTAATAGATGGAAAACAGCAAGACCGAATCTTAATGTAATCTGTGGACTCTAAATGATAATTTATGCAATGCAGGTTCAACAACTGTGACAAATATCCCACTCTGAGGTAAGATGTATGGAGACAGTGACTATACGTAATATCTCTATTTTCTCTTTAATTCTGCTATAAATTTATGGAATTTATAAAATAAAACAACAATAGAACTTACATTATGTTAACTGCAACTCCAATAGCTGCAGTAATGAGCATTATATCTCCATTTATTTCATATTGCATATGAATAGTTCTTTGGACAGCTTCATACAGGAGAAATCCCATAAGTATATATACCAACAGCACACTAATCATGGCTGACAAAACCTCTGGAGAAGAATTAAAAAGAAAAAAACATTTGCAGCATGATTTTGCACTTTAGACTAATACTGCATAATCTTTCTCTTTCCCCTAAGGAAATAAAAACACATTAAATTTTGTCATGTTATTTTTTGGTATTTTACAAGGAGAAAAAATTAGGAATACCCAGTGGTATCTGGAACCACCTGTGGGGGGCCATGTGAACTCAGGATAGAACTCAGGAACCTGCATATACTAGGCATGTGCACTAACACCTGAGCTATCTCACCACCCTATTTTTCTTATTTTAAAAGTGATTAGTAGTTTGATGTGACTTTTCCATTAATTCTCTAACACTCCTCAGCCTCCTCTTTTCATGTCTAAAATTATATTTATAAACCACACACAGTGAAAGATTTAAGACAAAAATATTTTAACATGACCATGGACTAACTTCCTAATCCAAAAGTACCTAAAAATCAGTAATGAAAATCCATAAGAAGAATGAGTAAAGGACACAAATATAATATGCAGAAAATGGATAAAAATGCTCAATTTCTCAAAAATAATCATAATACAAGAAATACAAATAAAAGCAAGATTTATTTTTGTTTCTTACTAAGTTGACAAGAATTAAAAATTTGATAATAACCAGTTTTAACAAATATGACATTGGTGCAAGTATTAAATGGAAAAACCTTGTAGAAGAGTGATGAGTAACACTAATCAAGAATTTAAACATATATATTCCTTAGTTCTAGGAATCTACCTTGTAGAAATAATCCATATGTATGCAAAGATATTTACAAAGCTAGGTCTCCAATATTAACTAGTATTGACTGGAGAAAGGCTGGAGTTCATGCTTTGCAAGCAGGAGGCCTGAGTTTGACACTAGGTACTGCCTGGTTCCCAGCACACATGAGCACCACTTGGGTGGCACGAAAACAACAAAAACATGCAGAAAATATCTTTGATTTTGATTTTTGGGCTATTCCTGCCATTACTTGCAGCCTTCTGCATACAATGAATGCACTCAGCCCATTGAGATTATTTCTCTGGCCCTGGAAAAGATACCTTAACTGTCCAAAGACAAGGAACGTACTAGCTAAAGTATGATATATGTAAATTAGGGGATACCACATAACTTTAAATTCATAAGACAGAGAAAGTGTTAAATCTGGAACAGGGACTAGAAGCTGAGTAAATTTATTTTTACTTGTTGTTGCAGAAATGTTGAGTCATAAGAGCATACCAGACCCACCACCAAAGTACTGACTTCTTCTACCACAGAACACTGGAACCGCCCTTCTCTCTGGTAATCTCGATTCTGTGTTCTGCATCCAAGAGTTTGTTTTTGTTCTGTTTGGCTTTGATTATTCCCTTGCTCTGTTCCTTTATGTACCACATATGAGAGAGAGTATCCTCAGTTCGCTTTTCTTCTTCTGATTCACTTCACTTAGATGGTACTCTCCAGTTCTACCCATGTTGTAGCAAAAGGCAAGATTTTATCTTTCCTTGTAACTAAATACTATTCATTGTGTGTGTGTGTGTGTGTGTGTGTGTATAAAATTAGCCTTCTTTATCATCTCACACCCCTGTGAGAATTACCTATATAAAAAAAAGCCAGAAGCAACAAGTGTTTAAGGGGTGTGGAGAAAAAAGAACCATTATGTAGAAATGTCATTCAGTCCTGTCTTTTTAGAAAATAGTGAAGACGGAGGGGGGGGTTGGCTGGAGCAATAGCACAGCAGGTAGAGGTAGGGCGTTTGCCTGTTGCCTTGCACACAGCCAATCTGGGTTCGATTTCCAGCATCCCATATGGTCCCCTGAGCACCCCCAGGGGTAATTCCTGAGTGCAGAGCCAGGAGTAACCCCTGTGCATCGCCGGGTGTGACCCAAAAAGAAAAAGAAAATAGTGAAGACGGCCAGAGAGATAGCTCAACTGGCTGTGTGCAGGCTTTGCATGCAGAAGGCCAGGGTATGATTCTCAGCACCAACTGGCTTCCCAAGCTGGAGGGAGAGAGAGGAAAAGGGGGGGGGGGGAGGGAGGGAGGGAGGGAGGGAGGGAGGGAGGGAGGGAGAGAGAGAGAGAGAGAGAATTCACAAATAATTAAATCACTTCAGCAGAGACCAAGGTATGATTTCCAGCACCAACTGGCTTCCCAAGCTGCCAAGAGAGTGTCTGTGGTGTGTGTGTGTGTATGTATGTATATGTGTGTGTGTATACAAGTGCCTAGCTTACAAGTGGATTAAGAAAACCTGTTACTATAGTAGTTCTAATGTATCTTACTACTTTATTCACAAATAATTAAATCACTCCAGCTGGCTAAAACTGTAGCACTAGGGGAGGAAGAAAATATAAAGCTTAATGGCCGAATACGTACTTTGCACACAAGAATCCTGGCAAACAACATCTGGCACTGCATGGTCCCCTTTCTCCCCCTTCTAGAGTGGCACTCTGAGCACCAAGCACAGAGCAGCCCTTGAATACTGCTGTGTGGCCCCCCAAAAATGAAAACAGAAAGAGAAAATGTGTGCTTTTTGGTATATTTCTTAGGCTTGTCTCATTCAGATGAATTATAAATAAATATGTATGGTTATAAAATATATGCCTGAATTTCAATTTTGGTTTGGCTGTGTGGCCAAGAGAAAAAAAATTAAATGAGAGAAAATATAGAAAATTATAAATTTTAATAGTGCAATAAAATATAAAGTTTATTTCATATTTTAATAAATCAGCAAATTGCCAGAGCTACAGAGTCTCAACTTTCATGCAAAAAACATTTGAGTTCTTCCCCAATCTAATTATTCTTACCACAGTACTTTACTGTTTCTCTTTATAAAATTATAATTTCTGATTTATTTACATGTTGCCTGTATCCCCACCTTTTACTATTATTCACTCAGCAAGTAACTAATGAACACCTTTTCAGTGAGTGGATCACAATGTTCTTGATCTATGTAAAGCACGTTCAACTCATGCAAAGTTTGCTTTTTCAAGAGTGTTGCCTAGATGTACTGGTGTACAATAACTGTTAACTTTGCTAAGGCTCTGATGCCAATTATGAGCTCCTATTGTGCTCCTACTGGGCTATCAGTATTGTGGAGTTTGGAGGTTAGTATTTTTAAGGAAAAGATAACTTTCTATAGAAACTTAAGATAAAAAAGACGACCAGTAAACTCTATTTTATCTCCTTTTTATGTAACATTTATCAGTGAAAAATATAATTATAGGCACACGTACTTTATTAAACTTTGGTCTCATAGAGATTGCTTTTTTGTTTGTTTTGAAGCTTTCTGGCAACTGCACTGAACAAGTTTATTGGCACCATTTTCTAGCAGCATTATTACTTAATGTTTTTGTGTCCCATTTTAATAACACTTCAACTTTTCCATGATCATTTTCTCTGGTAGTGTGTTATGGGCATTTGATGTCACATCTGTAATTATTTGGGGGCACCAAAAACCACATCCATACACAATGGCAAACCTAACTGAAAAAATGTGTTTTGCTATTCCACTAAATCAATGGCTCCCCTGTCTTTCTCCTCCCTTTGTTTTTGCCTGTTCTCTGGGAAACAATATTATTGAAATCAGGCCAATTACAAATACTACAATGGCCTCTAAGTATTAATGTAAGAATGAATGTAAGAATCACACTTATAAAGAATGTAGAAATCACTAAGCTTAGTGAGAAAGAGATGTTCAAAGCCAAGACAGGCTGAAAGCCAGGCCTCAGGAGTCAGCAAAGTTATGAATACAAAAGAAAGGTTATTAAAGGAAATTAAAAGTATTACTCTAGTGGAGGGCTGGAGTGACAGAATAGAAGGTAGGGCGTTTGCCTTGCATGTGGCCGACCTGGTTGACCAGGTTTGATTTTTTGATTCCTCTGCCCCTCTCTGAGAGCCTGGCAAGCTACTGAGACAATCTCACCTGTACAGCAAAGCCTGGTAAGCTACCTATGATGTATTTGATATGCCAAACACAGTAACAAGTGTCACAATGGAGACGTTATGGGGCCCGGTGGAGTAAATGGAAGAACAATGGGAGGACAGTGACAGTTACTCTAGTGAACAAAAGAATAAGAATAAAAGGAAATAGACTTAATGCTGATATTGAGAAAGTATTAGTGGCTTGACAGATCAAATAAGTGATAAGCCTTAAGTAAGAGCCTAACCCAGGGCAAGGCCCTAACTCTCTTTCAGTTCTATGAAAATTTAGAGAGGTCATGAAGCTTAAATTAAAAAGTCTAAAACTATGGAGCAACTTCCAGAATAAAATATGAAGCAGCAAGTGCAAATTTAAAAGCTTCAGTAAATTCTCCAGAAGTCCTAGTTAAGATCATTGATGAAGATGAATGTGTTTAACAATAGATTTTTAATATGACAAGGTAACCATTTAGGATTTTAATAGTTAGAAATCAATGTCTGGCTTAAAAGCTTCAAAAAGCAGGCTGACTCTTGTTAGGAACTAATAAAGCTGGTGACTAAACTTGAAATCAATGCTTACTTTTTATTCTGAAGTTCCTAGGGCCCTTAAGAATATAAAATGTACTTGATGATGCCTTTTAATGCCTGCTAACACAACAACCATTTTTCAGCTCACGGATTAAGGAATATTTTGATTTTCAAGTCTTATTATTTAAGAAACACATATTAAAGCTTTAACTGTCAAAGAAGTAGTGACTACTCTGATCTGTGCAAAGTAATTTGAAAACCTTTTGGAAAAGATTCACTATTCTAGATGACAGTAAGGATGCTTGTGATTTGCAGGAAGAGGGTAAAATATCAACAGTAATAGGATTTCAATCCTTGTAATGACTTTAAGGAATTTAAGATCTCAGTGGAGAAACTAGCTGCACACTGTGATGAAACAGCAAGAGAATGATTATTAATAGTGAAATGAAAAGAGCCTAAAGATGTGAAAGAATTTCTTTGAGTTTGATCTCTGGTACCACCCCACATGTGTGTGAGCTCCTCAACTAAAGTATGTGAACACCAAAACCAAGTGTGTGTGACCCCTAATCATT